ACCCTGTCAGACACCATCCCCATCCCGTTCCCTGTGTGAAACACCATCCCCAGCCCTGTCAGACACCATCCCTACCCTGTCAGACACCATCCCCAGCCTGTTCCCTGTGTCAGACACCATCCCCAGCCCTGTCAGACACCATCCCCATCCCGTTCCCTGTGTGAAACACCATCCCCAGCCCTGTCAGACACCATCCCCATCCCATTCCCTGTGTGAAACACCATTCCCAGCCCTGTCAGACACCATCCCCAGCCCTGGCAGACACCATACTCAGCCCGTTCCCTGTGTGAAACACCATCCCCAGCCCTGTCAGACACCATCCCCATCCCATTCCCTGTGTCAGACACCATCCCCAGCCTGTTCCCTGTGTGAAACACCATCCCCAGCCCTGGCAGACATCATCCCCAGCCCTGGCAGACACCATCCCCATCCCTACCCTGTCAGACACCATCCCCATCCCGTTCCCTGTCTCAGACACCATCCCCAGCCCTGGCAGACATCATCCCCAGCCCTGGCAGACACCATCCCCATCCCATTCCCTGTGTCAGACACCATCCCCATCCCGTTCCCTGTGTCAGACACCATCCCCATCCCATTCCCTGTGTCAGACACCATCCCCAGCCCTGGCAGACACCATCCCCAGCCCGTTCCCTGTCTCAGACACCATCCTCAGCCCGTTCCCTGTGTCAGACACCATCCCCAGCCCTGGCAGACACCATCCCCAGCCCGTTCCCTGTCTCAGACACCATCCCCAGCCCTGTCAGACACCATCTCCAGTCTATTCCCTTTCTCAGACACCATCCCCATCCTGTTCCCTGTCTCAAACACCATCCCCAGCCCTGGCAGACACCATCCCCATCCCGTTCCCTGTGTCAGACACCATCCCTACCCTGTCAGACACCATCCCCATCCCATTCCCTGTCTCAGACACCATCCCCAGCCCTGGCAGACACCATCTCCAGTCTATTCCCTGTCTCAGACACCATCCCCAGCCCTGGCAGACACCATCCCCATCCCATTCCCTGTGTCAGACACCATCCCCATCCCGTTCCCTGTCTCAGACACCATCCCCATCCCGTTCCCTGTGTCAGACACCATCCCCAGCCCGTTCCCTGTGTCAGACACCATCCCCAGCCCTGTCAGACACCATCTCCAGTCTATTCCCTTTCTCAGACACCATCCCCATCCCGTTCCCTGTCTCAGACACCATCCCCAGCCCATTCCCTGTCTCAGACACCATCCCCAGCCCTGGCAGACACCATCCCCAGCCCGTCCCCGGTGTGCCACCCCTGTGGAGCTGTCACAGCTGCCACCTCCCGCCGGTGACTCAGTCCTGACCGCTCCTTCCCAGGGCACCGGGGGCCGCTCCCGCCCCGCACCGGCCCCGGAGACGGTTCCGGGGGGAGAAGGAGCCAAAGCAAACACGGCGTGGGATCCCGCCGGCGCTCCCGGCCCCGCCAGCCGCCCACTGCGGCCCTTCCATGCCTTAATTAGAGGCTCCTCCAAAATTCTCCCCGGCCTGGCAGCTTCAAAGCCGAGCGTTCCCGGCGGGATCGGGGTGGGAGCGCCCGTCCCATCCCAAATCCTCGCTGTCTCGCCTATGTTTAGACATTTCGGGAGTTTATTCCAGACCGCAAGGGCACTCTCGGGGATTATTTTGCTTGGCAGCCACATCCCAGCGTGTTCTCGGCTCCTCCATCCCCGAGCAGCGCTCGGGAACAGAGCGGGGAAAACAAGCGGCGCTGCAGCCGCGCGTTCCCGGCTCCACCGCGGGAGGATTCCCTGAATTAGCGGGGCTGTTTGGAAATCTCCGCCTCTCCCGTCCTGGAAGTTCAGTCCAGCCAGCACGGGAAAAGCTGCCAGGGTGAAATCAGCTCTGGTTCTGGGGAAAACGAGAGGAGGAAGGCGGCTGTTCCCTGGGGAAGGAGCTCCTGCTCCGGTTTGAGGCGCTCCAAAAGAGCGCAGCTGCAGCTCCCCAGCATCCCAGCAAATCCCAGTTTCCCTCTTTCTCCTCCCAAAAGTACAGAGAAGCAGCTAAATCCCACAAGGGGTCCGAATCCCTCCCAGTCCCAGGTTCTGCAATGGGATTGGGGCAGGGAGAAGCTGTGTGTCAAAGCCCAGCTCCTTCCAAACCCGTGCCGTGACCTCGAGAGCCCTTCCTGCTGCAGGCACTGCCAGCACAACCTTCACCTGGACAAGAGTTAGCAGGCAGCTGGGGGAAAAAAATTCAAGGAATTTGTGTTTCCAAGTGTTTACAGCAGCACAGAATCACCTGCCTGTACTTTCTCAGCTTCCTGTTTATGGAGCGAGGCTGATGAATCAGCCCAGGGAGAGTTCAGGGAACTTCTGGGAGCTGTTCCCACCCCCATCCCTGTTCCTGCAGCATCCTGAGGATCCACAGCCAGGGCAGTGCTGGAGCCACAACAGGGCCCAGGCTGTGGATCCGTAAATGTCCTGGTGTGGATCCAGCACTGTCCTGGTGTGGATCCAGCAGTGCCCTGGTGTGGATCCAGCACTGTCCTGGTGTGGATCCAGCAGTGCCCTGGTGTGGATCCAGCACTGTCCTGGTGT